ACATCAGAATCATCGGGAGCTTTTTTTTTCATTTTTTTTTAATGTTTATTTTTGAGAGAGAGAGAGACAGAGCACGAGTTGGGGAGGGGCAGAGAGAGAGAGGGAGACACAGAATCTGAAGCAGGCTCCAGGTTCTTAGCTGTCAGCAGAGCCCAATGCAGGGCTCGAATCCACGAAATGCAAGATCATGACCTGAGCTGAAATTAGATGCTTAACTGACTGAGCCACCCAGGTGCCCTTGGGAGCTTTCAAGAATCCCAATGCCCAGAGTACACACCAGACAATTTAATTTCGTCTCTAGGGCTTAAGCATCCATAATTTTTTGAAGCTCCCTAGGTAATTCCAACACATAGCCAAAGTTGAGGACCACAACTAAAGACATGCCCAAGGAAGACACTTACATTGTATTCTCTTCTAGAAAGAATTTATAGTTGATAAACCAATACTTATTTATCTCCCTATTACTGAATAAATATAAAGTCGCACTGACCAAGGCCTGATAATTAAAGTAAGACTATCATTCGTTGCATATATATTTTTATACTGATATTGTGAGTTTCGTGGACTCACACAGTACTACTTCAATACTTTTTTCAACCGTTACAAGAATAATCTTCTCTAAAGCATATACACAGTTTATGAAGAAAATGTAATCTATTTTTCTTTTTTTTTTAATTTTTTTTTTCAACGTTTTTTATTTATTTTGGGACAGAGAGAGACAGAGCATGAACGGGGGAGGGGCAGAGAGAGAGGGAGACACAGAATCGGAAACAGGCTCCAGGCTCCGAGCCATCAGCCCAGAGCCTGACGGCCGAACTCGGCCACGGACCCCATGAGATCGTGACCTGGCTGAAGTCGGACGCTTAACCGACTGCGCCACCCAGGCGCCCCTGTAATCTATTTTTCAAGTGAAGATTAATCAAACATCCTGTGTTGAAAAATAATGTATGTTCAACATAAAAATTAGAGAATTTAAAACTGTTTTCAGAGCACATAATTTATTGTCTAATAGTACTACAGTGAAAGAGACTACGGTGGGAGCAGAGATGCAAAAGGAACTAACATTATTGGGTGCCCCGCAACAGGTTCTTTTGCAGCCTTAGAAGCCATTTAATCCACAAGTACTTGGTATAAGTCCAATTAGTTTCATTTTCACAGCTGTGGAAAAAGGCTCTTTTGTGAGTAAAGTGCCGCACCAAGATTCAGGCTCAGGTATGACTCCAAATTCTACTTCTTCTACTAAGTGTTTTCCATGCTAATTCTCTGGGGACTGAATTCTTAAAATGTTGTTACTTTTCAAGCTATCTTAAAAACAAAGACCTTGAACGCTTAAAGATGAACTACGCTAAACTTTGACTCAGTAGAGCACATAAATGTGCTCGTTAGGAAAGCCAAATTTACTCACTTTTGTGCAGAGCTTGAAATAATAAAGCTTTACCTACCATATTTATGTTTAATTTTATTTTTTAAATGTAGGGAAAGATATTCTACAGGGAATTTTTAAAAATAAAAGCCTTCATATGTCCAATCACATAAACTCTTACAAGCTACATAATACAAGCAATACACGTTCAAAGTGCTGAAATGCCATGAAGGTACAGATACATCTTTCCAGTACATTATTTCACCAAGACATAATAAGCAGTGCAAGAACAAATGAAGAGGTCAATCTTAGACTGAATGTCCATTTAACACTCAGTTTTATTGTACATTTTATGTTTGACTATTGTAAGAAGTGCAAGGTTTAAATATTTTAGTAATTCTGCATTAAGCAATTTTTACTTTTCCTCTTTCAAGAGTCTGAATCAGTTAAAAAGCCATGATATGAAAAAACAAGCTTACTAAGACAACCTAGAATATGCAACTACTTACCTAACAGATTTTAATATTATAAAATGAAAACAAAACACACAAACTGAACATTAGGATAAGATTACAGCAATCATCCTTATTGCCAATTTCAATTTTCTGTGTTCATTAAAACTGCTTCATTCTTCTAGTTGGCCTAAAAGTGTCACAAATTTGAATTTATAAAACAAAACTCACACCCAACAAAATGCCCTTGCTACATACAGTTATGAAGACTACTATTAACCAAAGTTGGAAAAATACTGTATTAACAGGAATATATGTGAGATAAGAAGTCCTGAGTCTCCAAATACAGTAACTTATAAAAAGGATTTCAATCATCGTTTAAGTGCTCTTACAAAGAGATTTATGCCATGTTTCAAAAACAAAACAAAGCAAAACACATTCCTCAGTTACACTAACTACAACGGGTAGAATCTCATTTTTTTATCTTATGCTGTAAAGTGTGTGTATGTATGTGTACATATATATACATACACACATACACCATTCAAAAGGAGAGCAGTAGCTTTAACTAGAGTTTTTTTTTTCTTTTGAATTTTCAAAGGCACAAAACACGTACTGAAAATAGTGTCAAATTTCCTATTACCTATATTCCTAAGACTGATCACAAAGTCAGAATGGGATTTTTCTGTGTTTCCAAAGCATCTTTTATTGGGGGGTGGGGATGGGCAAGTAAAAGTATAAACACTGAACTGTATTACTTCAGATATGAGAACTATTATTTTCTCTATAAACTACTTAAGAAATAAACCATTATATCAAAAGTACAACTATTTTAAGCAAAACATTCTGTCAAATGACTGATATAAAAGGAATTTTAGATATTAAAGTAGCAAAAGAAACAAAAGCAAAGTTTTAAATTACACTAAAACTAAGTGACTTAACTGTATCTATGCCTTTGCTTATGAAAATCAAGCTGCCTGAATTGCAAGTATTAAAAGGCAGAAAACCAGGGATTCTAGCTCTGACTTTGCCTCTTAATTAGCCATGAATTTGGGCAGATTTCCTACTTTCTTAGATCTCCTTTTCCATGTAAACCAGGGACTAGCCAGAAAAAAGGAATTTCATGATTAAAAGGGACCTTCCTGATAACACAGTCTAGCCCTGTCGTATTAAAAATGTAGACACAGAGGCCTAGAGATTTTAGGGAACTGTCCTAAATTCACACAGGCACAAAACTAAACCTAATACCCAAATCCAGTACTTATGCCATGAAACTGCTGTTAAGTTTAAGAATACAGCTATTCTTTATATACAAAGATGGCTACTGATTCATTTCAATAGTACAATGATGAAAATTAAAGCTCTTATCATCTGGCCCTTTGGGGATCAGTAAACAAACTGCCAAGATTGCTGACCAGGTTAAATAAGTATAAATCTAGAGTTTCTCTATGCACTGTGTGCTATAATAACCAAGTTTGTCATTATACAGAAATTATATTAGCAGCACTCTTCTTACACTATGGGATTTCACAGAAATAGTAAATGTGAAAAGATTCATAGACTCCACGCCACACTTATCAGATCTAACTTTTCTTTATTTAAAGTAACTCTTTTGAAATTTCTACTGGTTCTTCAAGAATGCCAGTTTTAAAAAATAAGATTGGGGCGCCAGAGTGGCTCAGTTAAGCATCCGACTCTTGATTTCAGCTCGGGTCATGATCTCACGGTTCATGAGATCAAGCCCTGTGTTGGGCTATGCACTGTCAGCACCTGCTTGGGATTTTTCCTCTCCCTCTCTGCCCACTTGTGCACACACACGCTCTCTCTCTCTCTCTCTCTCTCTCTCTCTCTCTCTCTCTCAAAATAAACAAACATCAGAAAAAAACCCCTAAGATTAATATCATATAATCCTATGAAAAAAGGTCAATAAGCACTTAATAACAGGAAGATATGCAAATTTTCATTCTATAACCACCAACACATGCAACTGATACTATTCTAAGAATATAGGTAATATATTTCTATCTGCATCAATTACTATACTTACATTTTGGATATTCTTTAAAAAAGTCAAAATATTTTTGACTTTGAGGTGAATAGCCACTTTTGAGAATGACTAAGCTTATTGTCTCCTAACAAGAGATCCTATCAAAGCCAAGCTGACTAGAAATTCTTACTATTCATGAAGAATATATAATGAAGTCCCCAAAGAAAAGGAAATCTAAAAAAATAAAAATTTGATTGTTTCCTCCCTTTGCTTTTCTTTTAGGTGTTATGATCAAAGATATCTGACCATAACTTACATATTTAAAAGTTTATAAATGAAAATAATTAAAAGCACATTAACGTAAGAGCATCAACCTGCCGAGGAAGAAAGTTTAAAATGCTGGAACAACAAAAACCAACAAAATACCACTCCACACCGTTGTTTAAAACTTTAAATAGTAAATGAGGGAGGTATCTAACTCTGTATTTCTAAGTCAAGCAAACTGTAATTGCTCAGATTGATTACTATTGGCAATGCACTGTCATACCCTGACATGACTGCTTCTTACTACATCCCTTCGGATAGAAATTATGATTCCCATTTTACAGGCTCAGAGAGTATACAGTATCCATCCACAGGTGCACGCTTTTTAAGTGTAAGATTTAGAATACAGACCAGAATTCTGCAGAGGTGGATCAGGAGTAAAAGCATAGCAACAATAAGGGAAATACTAATACTTCCTAAGACAGCTGGTAGACTCAATGAAATGGCTGCTTTATGCACTATAGTTGAGATAAAACGTTTGGAAAGATTCGATGCAGTTCAATTTTACAGGTTCTAAACACTAGCTCAGAAGGCTAAATTTTATTCAACAAAGAGAAACACCCAGCGATTTTTTAATAGGGTGTGATATGAGAAAGAAACCTGCAGCAGCGGGGAGAAAAAAAATGCTTATTGAGCTATTAGATGGTTCCACGCAATTTATAATGTAGTATAAAAGTCAGAGAGAGAAGAGGGAAGGTGTGAGCTGATACGGCCTGACTCATGATTTTTAAAACCCTCAATTTCTGTAATAAAAAAGCATAATTGAGGGGGCAAAAATATGGTACAATCCAATCAAAATTTATCTTAGTAATAAACAAAACAACACTGATGACCTAAACATCAGGGAGTAGCCAATGTTTAAAAACAGCCTTACCTTAGGTCAGGTGATTCGGCCCTCCCATATCGGTCCTGCCACTTCCCAACGCTGGAATTGGCTTTTCTGGAGGCAGTACTTGTCTGAGACTGAGAGGAGGTGCTGTTTCTGGTGAGATAAATTTTCTATGTTTTTTCTTACATATTGTTGTCTCTGACCCCCCTTGTTCTGTCTTTTTTTTTTTCCTTTTTTTTTGACATGCTTTTTCTAAAGTCCTTTAGCATGTTCCTATCGTATCATTTTCTTCAAGTCTCTGTGGTACTAAAATCGCTAGTAGGTATTTAAATATTAACGTGTTATCAACATTTTAGTAACTCTAGAATATTTTCAGAAATCTTTTTCAAAATAGTATGTCAAAATGCAGAAATAAGAAAAGAACCAAGGGCTTATCAGGTTATTATCAAGAAATAAATTTCTGTGCTTTTATGAGTGACATAAACTTCCACGGTTTCACAAAACCTTATTCAAAACTTTTGAGATTTTTTTCCCCTACACTCTTCAATAGGTACAAATATTGTTAGTGTAGCAGTTAAAAGTAACACTCTGATGTGTCTTATAAAAACCTACACTAAATAAATATATTTCATAAAAATTCCATTTCAAAGTAACTTTCAAAATAACATTCTAAAGAAAGTTAATTATATCCCTAGTGCAATACTCCATAGAAAGTTCAGCTATTTACACTCTTGCCAGTCCTTTAAAAGACTAATAAGACACTCTTTCAATAGCAAAGTTTTCTATAGGAAAAAAATGTATGTTTATGTATCTGTTTATTTTTGTAAAAAGAAACAAAGGAAGAATAAACTAGAAACTAGACACAATGAAGTTAATTATTAACAGGAGTGAAAGAAGCAGGGGAAAGAATGCACTTGGGACTCTCTTCAAAGTTTTACATTGGCAAAAAAAAAGTCAATAAACATGGAGAAAAAGAAAAGCTAATATTGAATACAAACAGAAACAATGGATATAATACTTTAAGTGATTAATATAACCACTCTAAAGGAAACTTCTGACTATTTTAACTACATACTCTCACCTTAAAAAAAAAAAAAAAGAATTCCAAAGAAATCTTGAATTCTATTTAATAGGTTTGGTTTTTGCAATGGTAAGTGCAGAAGTCCTAATCTGTTCTGAGTGTATTTTAGGATGAAGCAAAGAGTATATATACTGAAATTGTTGGGAAATAGGTTCTCAATGTGGTAAAACAGAGATGTAATCTGGATTAAGGAAAGGGAAGTAGAAACCTGTGGTGTCAAATGTAAAGTAAAAGAAGGATGAATGATTAAAATTATACATAAGGCAATTTTATATTGAAATTGGTTGTTTTCTCCCAGCCGTGAGTGTGGAAAAAGCCCAGAAACAGTGACACTCCAACAGCAATGAGCATAACTGGTGCCAAGATCTTGGTTTCTAATCATCATTTCCCATTAAAAGTCATCAAGGTGCTTTCAAGTCCCTGGCTGCTCCCAAGGAGGGGCAGAGGAAGTACAAGATAAGCATGGAACATTTGGTAAAGCTAGAAAGTAAAAAAAAATCCTCAAAAACAAAACAAAACAAAACAAAAAACATGATGGGGACATGTCAAAAGGGCACAGGAGCCACTCTGAAGAGGCTCCCATGAAGCAAGTCTGAAACAATTCAATATGAATTACAGTATATAAGTAGTATATATAGTTTATATACTACATATACAAATAAACCATATTTATAAGCAACAAATACACTCTCTCACATATAAAATAAAAATTAATGAGTCTAGATGATAATAAGTGGAGGAGGTGGGAAAGCCCATTTTTAAAGAAGAATGCCAGCTAATTAATGTTAAGAGAAATAACAGAGTTAGATAATCAGTATTTTACAGTCATTACAGTAGTAACGGGAAAAAGCAAAAATCAACAATGGGATTTTAAAGTTTGGGAAGTTTAAAAAAGAAACAGGATATTTACCATCTCCTCACATATTATTTATTAAATACAAACAGTAAAAACAATAACTTTGCAGTGCAGAAACCCAAAGAACACCATTACAACTAAGTGATTAAAGTTATCATCTCTAAAAATGGGGAAAATGACATCATGTACCTCAAGGCTGATGCACTGAGGACAGAACATCACATATGTAGTTTCCTGCCCAAAAAGCAAAACCTGAACCTCATAAAGAGGAAACATCAGGCAAACTCAGATTGAGGGAGATGACTTACAAAACAACCAGACTGCACTCTTCAAAATTCAGAGTCAACAAATACAAAGAATGTCTGAGAAACTGTCTCAGATGATAAAATAATGAGATAAAAGAGTTAATTATAATGAATGACCCTGGACTGAACCCGAAATCAAGGAAAGAACTGCCATTAAAGACATCATTGAAATAATCAGCAAAATTTATGACTTGTATATTAACATACTGGCTCATTGTAAGATTTTCTCACTTTGATTAACTGTGTACTAAGATTACATAACAGAATGTCCTTGTTCTTAAAAAATGATGTTTACAATTAACAAATGATTCAAAAAGGAAAATATTTTGGGCAAATTATAAAGCAAATATGGCAAAATGTTAATAAATGATAAATTTGGGTGAATAATATTCAATGTTCATGAGTGTTCAGTTTGTGAAAATTTATCAAGCTGTACATTCTTGACATAATATGAAAACTTTTAAAGATATAGGAAAACATTCTGATATATTAAGTATTAACATTTTACTTAAGTATGCCAATTTGCTGGGCAACACAGAAAGTTAGAAACCCAGCATTTCCATCGATAAAGTACAAAGATCCATTTAAAAAAAGTTCTGTGCAAACATACCAATAGTCATCTACACATTAGTAAGGCAATCTAAGATTTTAAACAAAGGCAATACAGTGGTTAGGTCAGTAAGTAGTACAGCTCATTACTATTTGTTGGGCAGTCTCTATTATGTCTTAAATGGCATTCCTGTCTACTCCCTAAAGTCAGTAAAATTTTACTTTCACACAGGTCCTTCTAATCTCCATAAATACAAAGACCAAAACAGAAAAACACAAGTATTTATTTAGGGAAATACTTCACAATGAACAAAAGTGTGCTTTTGATCAAGTGAAGAGGAACCCAGAAAACAAACTTTCCTAATGAAAAACAGGTACTGTTCTCTGTATCAAGAAAGTGACAACATTGACATGTTGGGTATGTCTCTATAGGTTATGGTAGCAATTATCCACTTTTTTTGGTAGTAGTGATAGATCGACTAACTTTTCTGTCATTTCTTTACCTTTTTACCGACCCTTTCCTGCCACTATTCTCCATCTCTCCTTCAGTCCATGGCCGTCCATCATTATAATCACTTTCTCAAGGACCCTCTCACCTTCCTTGCACCTTTGTCATATTTGCCTGGTATAACCACAACTCATATTAAATCCCACTAGCTAGTCTTCATAAACATACAAATACCTGGCAAGGGCAAGGCAAACACATCCAAGCAAGCTGACTACTGGTCTCATTTTAAACACATAACCATCAACTTCAAGACAAGTTGGAAATGTACAGTCTCTCTCCCTTTGTCAATTTTTTTACTCTCCTAATTCATTCCCACCAGCATATAAAAATGTTGCCATTTGTATCTTGAAAAAAAAAGTCTTCTTTTGACAGCACACTTCCCTCCAAGTACTGGCTACAATCTGACTCATTTCCCCCTAAGTTTATTCACACACCTCTAAATGACTATTTCAGAATTTCTCCTCTTGTCAAACATTCAACACCCACTTCTACATCCTCACATCCACCAGGTAAGTCAGCATCCCGTGTTGTTGGGAAAAACCGACTCCCATCATTATCTTACCTATCCACCCCCTCCTTCTCTCCTGTTATTGAGTGAACTGCCCATCTCCTTTTTAAGGCTAACTGCACCGCTTCCCTTCCCCCCCATTATATCCCGTCCCCTCTGATCTTAAGGACATTGTTCTAACAACTGTCCCTTCTCGCTTCTTGAATCATCAACTTCCCCTCTAGTAACTCATTCTTGTAAGTATACAAGCATGCTGTAATTTTCATTTTAGAAAAAAACAGCCTCCTGACCCCACATTTCCCTTCAGATACTGTTCCATTTTTCTGCCCCTCTCAAAAGTAAAAAGAAAAAAATTCTCAAAGAAGTTACACATATTTTCTCATTCTAATTCCTCTCCTATTCTCTCTTGAATCCATTCCAAAAAGTCTTTTTTCAATCTTCACCTTATACCACTAAAAAGGATCCTGGTCAGGACCACCAGCAACTTTTACGTTTTAAAATCCAAAAGCCAGGGCACCTCACTGGCTCTGTCAGTAGGGCATAGGACTCTTGATCTTGGGGTTGTGAGGTCAAGTCCCACATTGGGTGTAGAGATTATTTAAAAATAAAATCTTAAAAAAGTAACTAAAATAAAATCCAAAAGTCATCCTCAGCCCTCTTCTTCTTGGCCAATCAGTATTATTTGGTAGTTAATTGTTCTTCTACTTTGAAACTACACTGGGTGTTCTTCCTATGTCAGTAGTAATTCTTCTGTATGGATCTCCTCCTCCCTCATTCTTATTTTTCTGACCTGCAAGGAAATGCCCCAAGGCTCTGTCCCTCTTACCACTTCTTTCCATACTTACCTCTTTTACAATCAAATTCAGTTTCACAACTTCATTTAAATACTACTTAAACACTGATGACTCCCAAATTTCTATCTCCGGCCCATACCTTTTCCCTCTATTGCAGATCCATAGATCTACTTCCTATGCAAATTTTCCACTTATATGTCTAATAGACAACTCAATTTTAGTATATCCTAAACTGAACTCTTGGTCTTCTCCCTCCAAAAAAAGCATTCCTCCCGTAGTCTCTTCTATTTCAGATGTAAAAGATCTTTTACATCTTTTGAAATGTATCCAATATCTGTCTTCTCCTCACCATCTGCACCACAACCACTTTGTCCAAGTTACCATTATCTCTTGACTAGATCACTGTTACGACCTCTTAACTGGCTTCTCAGCTTCTGCCCTTAATCTCTCTGTAGTCTGATCTTAAATAAAGCAATGAAGACTTAAAAAACCTACAGTAGATAATTTCATTCCTCTGCACAAACTCTGACAGTGGCACCCCATTTACTTTACTTATAGGAAAAGCCAAAGCCTGTATAACGGTACAATGCCCTACAAATCTGGCCCAAGGTTGGTAGGTTGGTTGGTTGGTTGGTTGGTTGGTTGATGGAAGGGGCAGTCCTGCTACTAATTCCTAAATAGTTTATTAGCAAATATCTATAGAGTATTACTTCTGTATTATTTTTCCAGAATATTTCACATAAATGAAGTCATTTAATATACATAACTACCCTGTGAGGGATGTCTTATTATTATTACATTTTACAGATCAGGAAATGAAAGAACAAGATTAGGGGATGTGCTCAAGGACACAGAGCTAGTAAGCAATAGAGCCAGAATTTGAATCCCAGAAGTCTGGCTGTAGAGTCCAAGCTCTTCACATCCTTCTCTACTGCAGAACACGATAAACTCAATGAATGAGAGTGACCTCTTTTAAAATAGGAAAAAAAAGCAAAAGAAGACTACATAATAAAGGAATCAGTATTCCTCAGCTATCATAACTTCTTAGCCAAACATTTTATGAGACTGCATTTATTTAAATAATATTTGAAAATGTCCATGACTAATAATTGTTAGGATGAGAAGAGAGTCAAAATCCAAGATGGCTTTGTGACATTTAATTTTGGCTGAAAGTTTCAAGAATCTTTATCTTAAGGCTAAACCACATGTTCCCATATGGGCTCTTCCTGCATTTGTATATTATGAAATATAATCTCTTATAGCAATTCAAAATTGCAGAATAACAAAACCAGAAAACTGTATAAAATAAATTTAAGTAACGCAAAAGGTAAATAATCTGGGTGAGAACGAGTAACAGCTTGATGACTGACTTGTTTCAGGCCCAGAGAAATACCTGATTTAAGTCATCTTTACCTAACTCAAAATTAAACTGCTAACATCAAACTTCCTTAGTCTCAGTTTATCCTTTACCATTTTCCTGGTAACAGGCTAACCATTTGTCATGTTTAAATTAAAAGGACATTTACCAGCACATTTGTTTCTTACAATTGGTACCCTGTGGAACTTAAAGTTAGGTATTATCAAAATAAACCAAAGAAAGAAAAGAAAGTGGTTTTAATTGGAAAGATTGCCCAGGCTGAAATGTCCACCATCTTTTACTAAAATCTGTAAAACACATTTAGGCCAATAGATCTAGACTTATTAAGTCCAATAATTCTTTATGTAAGAATAATAAGCACAGAAAACAGCAAGACCATTGTTATTGCCATCTCTCCTGAATGTAAGATTGTCTTTTTTACGGACGTGTAACTATATACCATGCTTCATTTCTTGCTCACCTAAATGTTTTTTAAATGGGAAGGCACCAAGAAGAGTTTTTCACAAAGAACTCATTTTGTATTAAAACAACGTGAAATGTTCTTTGACAGAATATTCAGCGCTTTTACATTTTATAGCACTAATACAAGATGAAGATACCAATGCCTTCAATAAATGGAGTTATTAATTGTCTAACTAACCTGCTTGGTGGGAGTCCAGTCTTGAACAAAGAAGGAGGAGAAGTAAACTCAGCTTTTGTAGATGGAAGTGCTGCTTCCTTCTCTGAATTTCCAGTTCGTCCTTGCTGTACCTTAAAAAAAAGGGTTATTAGCTTATTTAATAGAACACTCAAATATACTACAGGTATTAAAATAAATTTGTAACATCTAATTTTAAATTAAATATGAAGAATGTTTTGTTGCTGAATATTTAATAAAATTACCTTATCTTAGAACAGCATTATGAGAAAGGCACCAAAGATGGATTATGGAATCAAAATGTTCCCAACTATTAACAAGTTCACATTAATGTTACCTAAAAGTCTAGTAAGCTCTAACTCTTTAGTCCTTTCATAAATTCCCTCAAACTGCCACAAATGAGCCCAAGATACATGGTTATGACCCCACATTTCAAAGTTCAAGAAAGGCCTTGAAGAATTTTCCTCTTCTATGTTTACTACCATTCTAAAACAACCAGTGGCCATTTTTGCCATTCTGACCATTTTCTATTCAGACTGTGATTTGCTCCAACATAAATATTAACAACTTTCCATACCATTTGTTTCCCCATCATCAACAGTACACTGTCCTGCCAGTTCAGCACACTTAAAAGCTTGATGGCTGTTTCCTTAATAACCTCTATTCCCTCCTTTATATTGACTTTCAAATCAGTTATCTACTTACTCCATAATTTCTCCCATATTGAGCCATCCTTTCTACTCCTATCAGATCTTTTGAGTATGGTCCAGTCATACTCCTTTAGACTGGTGAAATTTTTCCTTTATGTTCTTTTGCTTTTATATTCACCTGCCTATCTTAAATCATCATTTATTTATTAAATCTAAACAAACTACATTTACCCTACACTTGAAGAACATCACACCATATTTTATGTCCTACTTAAATTCTACTGTTCAGTCTAAATTCAGCATCATTCTCTTTCCCCAGGAGACAAAGGCCAAGAAACCCTCAGATACTTTGATATACTCAAACCACTGATTCAATTCCAGAAACTATCTACCTTTCACATAATCATTACATGAGAAAAAGAATATATTTGAGTCATTAAAATCAGATCTCTTATTAATACCACAGAACCTAATCCACAATTGGTGTCTTCATACAATTAGGGTTTTACACGGACATTTTACTTGAAAATGAGTTCTACTCATTAAAAAAACTCATTTAAAAGGCCCAGATCCTAATGAGGGATGACTGAGGATCAGCACTAAGACAATGAGGATAGAAAGAAATGGATTTGATAGACACTTGACAGGTAAACTGACAGAATGTGGTGACAAGAGAAATAAAACATGGTTCACTCATCAAACATTAAATATCTATTGTTATCTAAAAATCTTTCACCAGAAGCTGAGATTACAGAGAGAAATACAACAAAATCTCAGGCCATGGGACAAGACAGACACATAAACAACCAGAGCAATACAATAAATGCTATGAAAAAAGTATCTATGAGATAAAAATGCTATGAGAACACAGAAAAAGAAATGTATTATTCTTCCTGCATGTCAGGAATATTGAGAGTTGACAGTATGGTCTCAACTGTTCCCCTGAGCTCCAATAATTTATATCCAACATCTTATCTATCTAATAAGCAACTCAAACTTACCGTGGTCAAAACAAAACTACTGATTTTCTACTATCCCCCATTCTGATTCTCCCCAAGTTTTCCCCAGTAAATAGTACCATCATCTACTGAGTTGCTCAAGGGAAAAAAAAACCCAGGAATTATCCAATGGATATGACAATCCTATGTCAGCTGTACCTTTACAATATATACCAAATTCAACCATTTATTATGTCCACCCCTAAAACCCAGGTTAAACTTACCACTTCTCAACTGTTCTACTGAATTGTCTCTGCTTTGACCTTACCTCTAAAAAATCTATCCCCTGTATACAGCCAAGCACTGTTATTAAAAGTGTAAATCACCTCATGTCTCTCTCCTGCTCAAAATTCTCTAATAGTTTCCCAACACAAACAGAATGAAACCTAAATTTCTTATCATGGACTACAAGGATTTATACTGCATTTAGGTTTTATTCAAATCTGTATCCCAATACCTAAAAACAGTGCCTGGAATAAGTTTTCAGTATATATTTTTATTTGACTGACTTTGGGATTCACCTTAAATGTCACTTCAAAGTCTTTCACAGGACATGGAGTTTTGGCCCAATTATCTAATCAATCACGACTTTTCCCATTAAGTCAGAAAAACTCTAAGATCACAAAGTCTAGGTCTATAATGCTCACCTCCCCTCCCTACTTAAGTCAGAGCTGCTTCCTAACATAGTCAATGCTCAACTAAAAACTGGGGAGGGGAATGGGAAGAGAGTTGAAGAAGTAAAAGACGAGGGAAAAAAAGAAAGAGCAAAGATGAAAAAAAAAGCAAAGATGAAAAATTATTTACAACAGGGGAAAAGATATCAGGAAGACAGTACATTTTTAAACATGTAAAAATTGCTTGTTTCCTTAGTTTTCTTTTCTCCTTTATTTCCTTGTAAAATACTCCTACTAATTCTGAAAGTCCTCGCCATTTTAGCAAGTCTCCTAATCAACTTGCATCCACTTGTTTTTCTTCAGATGTTGCACTCAGGGTTACAGACAGAATTTGTTTAACCAGAATGAGATAATTTTTTAATATGATCTCATATTTTAAGAAATGACTGTAAGATACCATGACAGGTTCTCTAAACACAAAGTCATGTCAGGTCTTACATATCCAAACAAAAGTTTGACTGAAGTCTGTAACCTTGAGAAGCTCAATATTTACCCAAATTATGCTACCAATGTACCAAAACTTAAATTATTTTATGAAATTTCCTTCAGCTACCCTTCACAGGTTAACCTTCCAAACAAAATATCTAAAAAGAAATTTGTTGTGTGCTGCACCCGAATAATGCATCATGCAACTATTTAAAATGTTATCAAAAAACTAATAACCTAGAAAAGCATCTGCCACATAAATGTTAAGGTAAAAAAGGAAAAGTAGCAAACCATATAAATTACCAAAATTTTGTTTCAACCCACAAGAAAAAGACTGCAAACACAATAAAATTTGGGACTCTGAAAACAGATGAAAAGATAGTAACTGACTGAGCAGAATAAAGAAACCTGAATCCTAAGTCAGCAATAAGAAAATAAAGATACTATGATTCTCATGGCAGAACCCCAAAAGGTTCAGCAACTGGACAACTCCAGTTTCCAGAACATTTGAATCAGGTAAGTATAAACCCTCTAGGCAGGCCACTGGAATCTATTCCCTAAAAAATCAAATCACCACAAAAACAAAAAACAAAACAACCTAAAGATACTGACGTGTGGGACTACTAAAAATGCTTAGCCCTACAGAAAAGCCTATAGCAAATTTTATTCATATTCAGAGTTCCCAATCACCTTTTGAGTGGCCCATTCCCTTGTGAGTGAATGGCCAAGGACCAACAAACATTTGAGAAAAGTCAGTCAAAGGCCAAAAACAACAAACACACTATGCAGGAAAATCTAAATGAAACAAACAACGTATCATCAACACAAATATCTTTTGAGAGACAGATGAGAAAAAAACACTATATCACTGCATGCATGAACAACAGCAGGACACTAAGGTTAAATACTAAAGAAAAATTTTCTTGAATATTAACAATATAACCACAGAAATGACAGTGAACAGAAGGGTTATAAGGTGGAAAAAATTTCCCAGATAATGGAAGACAAAGAGGTGGAAAGTAAAAGAGAAAAGAAAATTAAAGAACCGGTATAAGAAGTCCGATATTTAATTAAAAAGGAATTTAAAAAAAGGCGGGGGGGCAGTGGTGCCTGGGTGGCTCAGTAGGTTGAGCATCCGACTTTGGCTCAGGTCATGATCTCAAGGTTCGTGAGTCTGAGCCCCACATCGGGCTCTATGCTGACAACTTACAGCCTGGAGCGTGCTGCAAGTTTCGTGTCTCCTCTCTCTCTCCCTCAAAAATAAATAAACATTAAAAAAAAATTAAAAAAAAAAAAAAAAAGGAGTCCAATATTTGAATAGGAGGCCCAGAAGACATTAGAAAGCAGAGAGAAAGTAAAAAACATAATAGAAGAAAATATCCCAGAAATGAAAGATACGTGCTTCCAAATTAAAAGGGTACAAACGAATGCTTGGTATAATGGACAACAACAGACACATAGTTGTGAAATTTCAAAACACAGCTTATACATACACAGAGGAAAAAAAAAATTATCTATGCATGTGTGTGCACATACAGACATAAAAATATTTTAAGAGAAGATTGTGGTCAATTTTTTTTTCACACATACTATGTAACCCATTCCCACTAGTCACTCTTCCCTTGCCCCTCACTCCGAATTATAAAATTACACAACTGCTTTTATAACCAATTAAGTGACTATTTTTCTATTAAACTTCATCTCCTTTCATTTCACTGAAAACAAAAACAAAAATTAAGCCAAAAAAGGGGTCCCTAGGTGGCTCAGTCAGTTAAGTGTCTGACTCTTGATTTCGGC